CATCGTATCCCAATTGCGTGGATCGATGCTCATGATGCCATTCACTGGATTGTCTGGTCCAGACTCGATTATTTACAGACCGCCGTCATATAGGTTGACTATTGCTGAGTGCGGCGTTAAACAACAAACAAACAAACCATTCCCCAAAATGTGACGAAAAACAGCCCTTGTTCAATACAAATTCAAGCCCATGTGGATACAGAGTTCACTCCCTTTGTTGCACTGGGCTGAACTGGTTTCTGGTTTCAAGGACTTGGCTTTTAGTTCGTAAACCAACTGGTTGACTGCCTGTCACTTTCCCCTAACAGCGAAAGCACAGACTACATTAAACACTTGCACGTTTACGATACAGTTTAACCAGGATAACATTAACAGGGACAGCGTTGGTACTGGTGGTATAAACATATGCTCCAGTAAATCACATCTTAACCTCATGTAGGAATGGCATTTGCAGTTGGGCGTTTCAAGCCGGGTGGCAAAACAAACCTGGCCCATTTTCTGATAGAGCATTGCAAGGGCACATTGAAAAGAATATGACCCACACCAAACTTGTTAAAAGCAACATATCTCCGAACTTTATCAGACATTATGCAGAATGAGGGCTCAGGGCGGGCATGTCATCTAAGGCGCCTCGACTTGCTGGTGTTGTATTGAGCCCCTTGGGCGTGTCGGAAACCTGGGTCCGATATTTCCCCTGATTATGTTTCAAGGGTGTCAGCCCCAAACCCGAGCTCGTGGCTTCCGCCGAAGTGGTAAGCGTCGGGAAATAGCTTTAACACTCTACATTAAAATGACATTTGAATATCTTTACGATACATTTTTTTAGGCCCGGAAAGGCTGATATATAAGTTTAGCGATTGTTTGGCATTTTACTGTACAGGATGGGTTCTCTTTCTCCCACCCTGGACTGTAGATATAGGGAGAGTTGAATTGTGACTAATTTAGAACTGCGAACGAAACCGAAAATAATTTTGGCCCTGGTGATCACCATACTTTGTTGCATACTTTGTTGCATGCACTTGTAGTCGGCCAAGTTGTCCTCAATGTATAGTTTGGGATAGTTGTAACACATCCAACCTCATTATTTTCACATAGAATCCGTAAATAGCTGACGCAACAGAGATCACGCGTTGGGATCGAGAACAACGTATGTGGATATTTTTTAATGATTCCTATCGGCAAAGAGCACGCTGTGAGTATTCTCGTTTCGACTGTATTTTGTTTCACCTTTTGAATGAATAGTTTTCGAATAATATGGTATATCCGCGCAATGAGAGTGTCTTCATAATTTAGGGTTCTGGTCAATATATTGACATGTATCGTTTTGTTTATGGGTTAAAAAATAAAACCCCAAGTGGCGCTTATCGTTTTAGATGTTTATGACTTTGGTTAGACCGCCTCCGTGGTCTTGTGGTAGAGCGTACGCACGGAGAGCGGAAGGTCCGGGGTGCGATCCTCGGCCGCGTCATACCAACATACATTAAAAGATGGTACTTGTTGTTACCATGTCTGGCGCTCGGGGCTAAAACAAGGACTGGTCGGCTCGGAGTCATTAGACGGGTCTAAGTTGGGTATTCATGTTAAACTGCGGCTCGCACTATAAATCGGCATCAGTCCGAACTAGAACAAGCACACACACACACACACACACACACACACACACACACACACACACACACACACACACACACACACATTATCTTGGACGCGACGTCAAACTCGATTTCACCTGACCTGACCTCACTTTGGTGAAACCAGGGAGTAAGGTGCTTATAAACCCATGTTCATGATCTGGACGAATCTTTGAGTCGAACTCATGATTATCGGATCCTAGCGCATCGAAAGGGACGCAACTCTACACCTTAAACCATTGGGCGCCTCCTGCCCCAAACTTCAATTAAAAAGGCCTATCTCTATATAAAACGATAACGTACATACGTAAAAAGCTACCGAAATCCCATTAATGTCGCTCTTTTTTTAAATGTACCCCTTGAACATCTATGATTGGTTATTGTCCATGTATCAGTTACAATCCGGATATAATATAGCTACAGTACATCGTTATCCCGTCGATCGTGGCAGGAATCAGGCCAGGGCCCACTTGCACAAAGCGATCTTAGCGCTAAGATGATCGTAACTCCCATACTTTAACATAGGCTTACAATAGTTGTAGCGCTAAGATCGCTTTGTGCAAGTGGGCCCAGGTCCACGCAAACACATCGTCGGGTCACGATGACATACGACGAGCAATCAAGCAGGAAGTTTCTCCTGGCCGTTGCATACAAGTACTGCCGACAGTGTATTTCTTGCCTTAAATCTACGTCCCTGAACAGGCATATGTTAGCTGTCAACCCCGTACCACCCATTTCACTTCCGAGCAGATCGCGTACCTCAGTCTTAGTCACTCGTGGAAACTGGCAGACATTTCCTGAGACAGTCGTACATACCGACACCAGCGTACAACGAGTGAACTCGGGCGTAGTGCAGAACTATGGAAACGTGTTTCTGTAACTCGCCATCAACCGTGATCGCGGAATACATTCTTTCTCCCGTGGAACCAATTTAATATTTTTTTTATGAATATGGTAGCCTAGGAAAAAATTAAATTACATTTTCTCATTCAAGGATATAAAATAATCTTCTGAATAAATAAAAATAACCTGATCTAAATAACTTGGGAGGGATACCATTCAAATAGTGTTCAACCCGTGAAGATCCGGGTAGAATAGGTCTTCAGCAACCCATGCTTGCCGTAAAAGGCGACTATGCTTGTCGTAAGAGGCAACTAACGGGATCGGGTGGTCAGGTTCGCTGACTTGGTTGAAGAATGTCATCGATCCCAATTGTTCATGATGTCAATCACTGGATTGTCTGGTCCAAACTCGATTATTTACAGACCGCCGTCATATGGCTGGAATACTGCTGAGTGCGGCGTTAAACAGCAAACAAACAAACAAACAAACAAACAAATCACTCCGCCTTCCCTGCATGCTTCGCTTATTGACACAATAAACTAAACCTACAAGACCGCCTGTGTTTTAATCCTAACGCTGTTGATATAAATACGATATTAATTACTCGTCTTCCGGGTTTAATTCAAGTTTAAGAAAATTAAATATATGTTCTTATCGTAACAACTAAATAGCATCGTAAACATACTTAGAAACAGTTATAGTCTCCCTTTCGCCCTATATGAAAAAATGAACTCGCCCGAACTCAACCCGACACCCCTAGGCTCGCAGTGTTCTCGTACGGAAATCGAGCGCGAAGTTGACAAACTGAAGAGAATCAACCTGGGAGAATGTGTTAGTGTGTGAGTAGGGGCTAATGCTGCTTTTATTAGTAACTAATCTGTATTACCGCACAATGACGTCATGTAGGAGTAAGCCCAAAGTGGAACAGATTATAGATGTTCGTTCACCCGTGGACCTCCATCACGGGACTAATGCTCGCAAAGCAAGGACCATGATCTAGGATTTAAACCCAGAATCAGCGGATCCTGCAGCTAAGTGACCGAGAACTGGACCATTAAACCACCCTGTTCGATGTAAATATGAGAGATACATCTTCAATATTTGTAAGCCATTAATTATTACATTTCTCACCTTTGCGTTCCACTGATATGTTATGTATTGATAAAATTTTTTATTTCATCGGAACCTCAAGAGATAAGATTTACTTGAATAGGAGCCGAGTTAATGCTTTATACCTAGAACAAAACCCTTTACAGTTAAGCAAATATCCTGTTAAAATTGACACAGCATAAATGATTGCAAACCAAACAAACGATCTACTACAGTGTAAACTTCAGTGTATAATGCAGATTGCAGTGTCATGCACACTTGGCAAGCTGGTCCACGCCGCTATATAAGTACAATAATCTTGAACGCGACGTCAAACCAAATTTCTCTTCACCTTCCCTCTAACACTACCCTTTCTGCGACCATCGGTTTCTATTTAAGTCTTAACCTAGATACGTTTTAACCTAGACGTTGGAAAACGAAAATCGAAAACATATTTTGATCATCCAAAATACCACACATTTACGCGTCACACCTGCAAATCTAAATTCTAAATCTAAATTCTAAATCTACGCTATAAAACTGTTTGACAAAACACCAATTTTTCAGGACACGTATACAATTGAAAACAGTATCTTAATTTTATTTAAATGACATCAGCTTCACGTAAACCACACTTCGCAGTACAGTTGTATCTTAACTTTTTAAACGATATCAGCTTTAAACAAATGTGTCAAAAAGATTTAAACGATATTTAAGCTTGTATATCGGATTGTGTTAATTACCTAAATAGTGCGAAGTTCATGGTTATAAACCAGATCCTTCAAACTGTCTTAGCGCACACTTTAGAATATACAGCTTCTAAAAACAGGATCTGACCACATCACATACTTCGTGTACTCTAACACTGTCAGTCAGTTAGGGGATTTCGCACTCGTGGTAGGAAAATTTCCTCACTTAACCACCAGAAAGGCATAAGGCGTGTGTGTATGTCCTATTTCGTTAGATGGGACAGACATCCCTTTGAATCCGTTATGTTCCTATAGCGGCTGGATGAAAAGCGAAAATATTTACAATCGCTCGGTGATCATGATTGTAAAAGTGTTCTCAACCGTTGTGGGAGCTTGATACAATATCAAAACTATTGATCATTTGTAAATTAAAATAAAAGTGTTTGTTTTTTTTATAGGTTTTTGTAAAATAGTAATAAATTGTTTTCAGTTTCAAAAAAGAAGGTTTTTGTTAAGTGATGTATGTGTAAGGTACATATAGATATATAATAAAGATGATTTAGTTATATCATGCCGCAATACTTGATGGACACATTGGTTCATTAAAAACAATAAAATTACAGTACAGTTTTCGTCGCACTTATTTCTATCTTTAGAAAATTTAAAAACACAAGTTCATAGATGTTTTAAACTTTTAAATGCAATAACAGTATATTGAGAAATGATGAAAATGGCTTAAGAAACTTACCAATGGCGCTAGGAAACATTTGGACGAGTGCCACAACGGCGACTGCGAGAACTTTAAGAAAATCCATTTTTGACTCGGAGCTTTCAATCTACAATCTGAAGTCTGTCACACCATCTTAGACAAAAAGTTTGGGGTACTTATAGTACGACCATATTTTGCACACGGCCTTCAGCCATCCAATTATCCTGAAGATCTTCAATGAGGATTCGTCTGAGTCACGTGATTCGTGGAATATCCCTCAGAGCAAAGCCTGTTCGTTAGCGGCATAGAAAGTACGGTAGCCGAGCCGTGATAAAATTTCGCATGTTACGCAGCCTGAGAGGGGTTTAACTTTTGCATAACGGTTATGCAATTAGTGTTATTCTGATAATTTACACTTGAAATGGTATCCTATTACGTAATAGTAAAATATAGTTACAACGTATTAGAACTGTTCAATACGATAATTGCAATCGTGTGTAATACGATTGTGCTGTTTCCATGCACTATTGTGTTCGTCGTTGTATGGCTGAAACAATGCCGAAGCGACCTTAAATTTGAACTCACATACACTATTGTGTACTGTTAATAATTTTTTTGTTTTTAGTCAGTGTGAATGGAAATATTTAAGTTGGAATGCCGTATAGATCATGCGTGAATATTGTTATAAATCGCAGAACAATATTTGTTAGTTTCATAGGGGGAGTATCTATGAAACTCGACACCTGACATTGCAACCAAATATTTAACCACACGTGCTTGTATGTAAATATAAAATACCATAGTTATTATGATATGAATCCGATGTCACGCGTGTACACAATGTGTTTGACAAGTAATACATTTCAGTACAGTATATATGTAAATATGCACCAAATGCTTAATGTCTCTAGCGCACCGACTGCCCACATTACAAACAGAGGAATTTCCTGACGGACTTTGAAACAACGGGCGGAATTTAATGTTTATCCTTTGGTCTGAGTATCAGTTAGCGCAAAAATCCTTGTTAATTGCAACGGGTGTCGATTTCAATGGTATTCAATTTCAACTCATGTCACTCATGTTATTAGCGTGGGTGAGTGAGTGAGTATGGTTTTACGCCACTTTTAGCAATATTCCAGTGAATATGACGGCAGGGGACACTAGAAATGGGCTTCACACATTGTACCCATGTCGGGAATTGAAACCGGGCCTTCGGCGTGACGAGCGAACGCTTTAACCACTAGGCTACCCAACCGCCCCTGGTAGTGAGTGAGTGAGTTGGGTTTAGCGCTCCTTTTAACAGCATCTCATTATATCACGGCGTGTCAGCTTGATGTGGGAGGAAAGCCCGAAGTGGCGCAGGTCTTAGACGTTGACCACTTTGGGTTTGGTGCTGACAAACCTAGAAACATAATCGGGTCGAACCGGGATTCGAACCTACAATAATAGGTTTCTGACGTTCCCAAGGGACGCAACTCTGCATAGCGAATTGCGGTGCCCTAGACGACATCCTTGCCCTCGTGTGTCGTAGTTTTCATATTTATTTAATGAAATTGATTACCACTGGAGGTCATGTTTTCGTCAAACTGAAGAGAGGATCGGATGGTTGAAATGGATGCTGGATCAGTCAGTAAGTTGTCTGCTTCAAACTCGGTCGCTTACAAATCGCCGTGATACACTTGTAATATTGCTACCTTCCGCGTAAAACAACATTCATTCAACTTTATCATTCATTATTTAAAAAGACCACACCTCGGAGACAGAATTGATTGATTCACAATCGAACTGATTTATTGTTGTATTTGTCGAGATGCTCCCCCCCCCCCCCCCCCCCCCCCCCCCCATCATTACAATATGATTTCAAAAGGAATGCTATTTTCGATATAGTAGATATAAATAGAAATGTGGAAAGTGCAATACGTGCTCATATAGGTTTAGACCGCCTCCGTGGTCTAGTGGTAGACCGTCCGCCCGGAGAGCGGAAGGGGGTTCGATCCCCGGTCGCGTCATACTAAAAATCGTTAAAAGATGGTACTTGTTATTACCCTGGCGCTCGGCATTTAGGGGCTAAAACAAGGACTGGTCGGCTCGGAGTCAGTATACTATAGAGTTTGCACATCGGTTTTTCGATTCATACCTCAATGAACCGAAACAAATACACAGTCAAGCCTAAAATCAACGCACAGAAAATGAATAAGACGTATTTCTATCCATGATTAATGATGACACCAATTTAATTGAAACAATCCATTTCAAACAGGGTACTAGTTATAACGTCTAGGCTTGTGGCCATGGAGCAATGTCCCTTTCATGCATGTTGGTTTGAAATTCGAACTTTGTAACGTAAATTAAATAATTTCAAATAAGCGAAGTCAGTACAATCGATGACGTGCATCAAAAGCGAGGGTGCGGACATCGCACATTGACACACGTTAGGGTGGTGGAGGGATGTGTGTGGTGGGGTGGCGAGTAACGACCCTGCTCTGCACCTCGTAATACAACGGCGTCAGGTCGTAGATCTCAGTGTGGAACAGGCTACTGATACGTGGCGATAAAGTTCGTGACAGAGAGAACAAGAGAAACAAGAAATAGAGCCAGATCACTTTTTTCACAAAGTAAACATGAGACTGTTCCATCTCCGTGAAGAATATCGGCCTCCCCCCCCCCCCCCCCCCCCCCCCCCTCCCTCCATGCGGTCATCAACGAGTTATCGACAGACTAATATATTCAAGTGGGATAAAGTTTGAGACACACACACACACACACACACACACACACACACACGGTATTGCTGTAATATTGCTAAAACGGCGTAAAAGATCGCTAATCAGTAAGAGCAAAAAGGGATAAAAACAAGGACTGGTCGGAAGCACGGAGCCAGTGTACTCTCTCACACTCGGGGTGCAGGGGCAAGGGGGGAGGGGGTGGGGTGGTGGGGAAGAGGGAGCAACTCCCCCCCCCCCCCCTCTTGCCCCTGCCCTCCGGCACTGCATTTCTTCTTCTTCTTAAAACCTCATTTCACCCCCCCCCCCCCCCCCCCCCTCTATCTCTCCCTCTCTCTCCATGTTAAGTGCTTGAATCGTGTTCGCGACATTAAACCCCATTTCACCTGACCAAGGTATCCATGTATCAATCTGACTTTGACAAAATGTTTCTTTATCAGTGTTCGCGCCCGTTGTATCTGTATCGTGGCTATATCACGTATGTCTCGTATATATTACCGTTCCTTTGTCCCTATCCTGAGTAAGGCAGATAATGTTCTCCGTTCACAATATACCACTCACATTTTCATGGGATAGTAACACATTCTATGCTTTTTAAAGTTGTGTTCACACCTAAGGAAAAGGTTACTATGAATAATTTTGTGTTTACCATATTCCTAATTTTTAGAGGCAATAAAAACAAACTGTGTTTCTCTGAAGATGTTACGTTTACTAAGTTTAGTTCATCATCATTTTATTGATTTTTAAAAACTGATTTTTTAAATTAAAATTTTGACAAATTAGGAATTTTTCAAATTCAAATTCAAATTGGAGTTTGTGTGTTCCTTTACATAATTAAATTTTACTTTCTTCCCTGTTTGGCTATCTTGGCTACAGTTGTAAAAATACTCTCGTGCTAAAATATTTTTGACAAATTTGTTTTAAAATATAACTTTGCATTTATATGACCCGCTTGTAGCTATTAACACATGTTCTCGTCGCTATATGGCCGAGGGGCGGTCGGGTAGCCTAGTGGTTAAAGCGTTCGCTCGTCACGCCGAAGACCCGGGTTCGATTCCCGACATGGGTACTATGTGTGAAGCCCATTTCTGGTGTCCCCCGCCGTGATATTGCTGGAATATTGCTAAAAGCGGCGTAAAACCGTACTCACTCACTCACTCACTATAAGGCCGAAATAATGCCGACGTTAAATTTCACTCACTCCCTCACTTTTGTGAAGACATTTTTGAAGAGTTATCATTTTTAAAGTTTATTATAAAGATATAATAAGTTGTCTCCAACAATCAGTTACTTATATTATCAGAATAACATTTCACTATGAGTATATTAGATAACACTAGACCCGTGAAGATTCCGGGGTAGAATAGGTCTTCAGCAACCCATGCTTGCCGTAAAAGGTGACTATGCTTGTCGTAAAAGGCGACTAACGGGATCGGGTGGTCAGGCTCGCTGATTTGGTTGATGCATGTCATTGATCCCAATTGCGTGGATCGATGCTCATGATATTAATCACTGGATTGTCTGGTCCAGACTCGATTATTTACAGACCGCCGTCATATAGCGTTAAACATGGCGTTAAACAACAAACCAACTAACCAACCAAGATAACACCACTGATAATCGGGTCCATATCAGTGCTGTTTGACCACGCTCGGATAGTCATTATGAGCCCCACAAGGAGGAGGTTAAGTTGAAATTACCCAGTGTATTACATCGTGTCTGGCAGGTGATATGCCGCTGCTGGCAGTCTGGACATAATGGAGCTGTATGTGTTGTGATGCGAATAAGGCCGAGAACAATTCAATGCTCAAGGTGACCGACCAATTGTGTCCAGCCTTTGAATTTGATTACTGGATTGGTTATGTAACTCTGGAGCCGTTGAACTTGTTTGCGATAGGATCTAAACCGGTATAGTCTATACTGGATCGTTAGCTTGATCGCTTGGATACATGTACCAGCGCTCAATTTACCGTGAAAGGGGCCGGGTGAATTAATTCTGGCGCGGGGTATATCAGTATACAGTAAACTACGGTTATAACGAACTCAAATCGACCACTAAGTTTAGTTCGTTATAACCGTAGTTCGTTATAAGCATATATACAGCATCTATACAGCAAATGGCCGGGACCAAAAATAAAGTTCGTTATATCCGTGTTTGTTATAAACGTATTTTACTGTAATTTATATGCTTCAGTGTGAAAGACTGAGTTTTCTGAAGTTGAGAAAAGTGACATTTTCATTTCAGTGAACATAGCACTTGATATGTCACTGCAGTGAATATGACACCTTGACGGAGCTATTTTCTTACAAGAGTTACCCCCCCCCCACCAATTATCTCCCTTTATCATAAGTGTCTCGCCCGTACACAAACTGTTGACATCCTATTTAGGGTAGTTCCACATTGACAAGGCAAAGTAATGACATATGGTCATTTATGGATTTAATATTGCTTCTTGCCGTTTGTTATTTTCTTGAAAATATTTCAGTCTCGTAAATTTTAAGAATATTTT